GAGGGGCCTCTTCCTGGTTTACAGACAGCCATCTTTTCTATGTCTTCATGTGGCGGAAGGAGTGAGGGGTCTCTCTGGGGCCTCTTTTGTAAGGGCGCTAATCCCATTCAGGAGGGCTCCACCCTCGTGACGTAGTCACCACCCAAAGGCTCCACCTCCTAACACCATCACGTTGGGCATGAGGTTTCAACATGTGGATTTTGGAGGGGGTGGCACCAACATTCAGTCTATAGCCCTTAGGTACCGTCCTTCATATCTGGGGAAGTGCTTTGCCCAAGCGCCTCTTAAACTGTTGTAGTGAAGGGCCAGCTCTTAAATCTCCAGTCTGTGTTCTGATATTTTTTGTAAAATACAATATATATGGATTACTAGAAAAATGAAATTAGGAAAACACAAAGACATACAAATCTAGATTCAACAGACAAAACATCATTCCATCAAATTGCTGTAGAATTTCTGCCACTGGCTCTCAATTTCTGTACATATTTATCCCGTAGTGGACAGGTAATGCACAGCTCTTAGACTGGCAGTGGCCTGCAGTCCATATTTTGAGTAGGTAGCACTGCTTTACATCTGCAGTAATCCTCATATTAACCACCCTATGAAGTGGGTCCTCCATTTTATAGATCAGGACACAAGGATCAAAGCACTTAATTAAGATGCCCAAGGATATGCCAGTACTGGAACTGGACTTCTGACCCAGAGTCGCAGCTAACCCACAGGGGTCTTTGTTAGAATTAGAGAAAGGTACCCCCACCCCTGAGCTGGCTGGCTTCCCGCCTTTACTGTGTAGACTTGTGTAGAACACAACCTGGACTGTTGTAGGATGTGGCCTGTTCAGACTTCCCTGTGCTCTCCTGGCCTCCCTTTGCCAGGATAGAAGGGGAGGGGAGAGGGCAGTGGGAAGAAGAGGGTCCATGGGGACTCAGGCTTGTCTCTTGGTCATTTCATTGTGCATTTTCACACAAAGGTGGTTGGAGTTGAGAAAGAAAGCAAAACTCAAGTTGGTGAAAATTGCTGGTTTTCAGTATTTCTAGTACAAGTTGTGCTCAACCTTAAGCTTTTGGAGTACCTATCAATTTAATTACTCTTTGCTGTCCTAGGGCTCACGTTATTAGAAATTCCCATGTACATTCAGCCACGTAATGGGGGTTCAAGATAACACAGAAAAATATTTGTGAGTACATCCCCATTATCCTTGCTGCTTCTATCATCATACTTCTACCAGGAGTTCCCAGTACTGGTTCAGTTTATAAATTAAATGAAGAAATAAAAAGTATGTAGACAGTGAAAACAGACCAAAGATATCTCCTTGATGCAGTCATCATTCAGACCAAAAATTAGTTACTGTTAAACACATTTCTAGTCATGCAGCCTAATTATATTAACTGTATTAGGGTCCTGGAAGTGTTGACTGTGGCCACATGTATGAACATTTTGATTTTATTCTCTCCATGGCCTAATGTTGTCTCTGGTCTAAGCAGATGCATCACTGATCATATAAAATGCCAGGAAAGAGAATTTAAATGGAGAAATCATTTGCGATCGCTGGAAAACTACCCTGAGCTAATAAAGGTCTGAATTTTTTAGGAAATTACATGGGAGGAAGGAAAGATTATTAATTCTCTTGTGGAATTAAATAAAAAGTTGCCAAATATTTTTTTTTTTTGGCCACACATTTCAAATGCCTTCCTACATATTTAACTTCTCATAGCTATCGTTTGTTGCAATGATTATAGTATTTGCTTGGCACATTGCTAAGAGGGTCACGTGCCTTATCACGCTGAATGGCCGCTACGGCTTTTTGAAGTTACTGCTGTTGTGATTCTTTTAGATGAGGAAGTTGAGGCTTTGGGACACTGAAGGCTTTTCCAGAAAGCATGGAAAGCAAGTAGGAGAACCTTAGACCTTCGTGATCTGCGGACAAGAAAGAGGGGCATCACCTGGGGGCTTGTTAGAAACGAAGAACCTCAGCCCACCCAGACCGAGGAATCAGAGTCTGGGTTTTAAAAATATCCCGGATGGTTCGTGCGCATATTAAAGTTTGAGAAATTCTGCTTTATTTCACAGAGTCCATGTTCCTAATCCCTACATAGCCCGGCTTTGTAGGGAAGTCTAAGATAAAAACTTTGAAGAGTATTAGCTGAATTTGATGTGAATTTAGGTAGATTCAAAATAATCCTTTTTATCTGGTAGTATGGTCTAATCTTGTAGATTTCAAATTTGTTCATTCTGCATTTTCCACTTTTCAGCTAAGCATTCTGAGATCATCTTGTGAGAGTCAACTCTTTCCTCTCTGTTGCGTCTGTGGTCACTGGATTCTAAGAATGTTCTCATTTGATCGCTTCAGGTTCTTGTTAAAAATAAAAAAAGATAAATAATGATCAAGTTGAGTGACTCTAGGGAACTGAGTTGATCCTTTCAGACACCTGTCCTCTCCAGTATGTAGGTTTTCTGGAAAGCAATGGATAATTATTATTCCCACCTATAATCTTGGCATTTAAGTGTAAAATACAGTTTGTAATCAAATTCATTTGAATTATAACAGAAAAAGCAAGTTTCAAGTATGAACTATGAAGCGGTCTATGTGACCTCTTAAAAGATTAACCCTTAAAAATGAGCCACTCAGGTTTAAAATGTAAGGGAGTAACATACAGGTATTAGCACTTTTGGAGATGTTTCTCAGACATCAGTTTGGAGAATGGACAGGAAGAGATGAGAGTCATCAGTGATTCTAGAATCAGCTGGAAGGCTTTTTAAACTCTCGAGTGATACTTCCTGTGCCCAGATTTTCTGATTAGTAGGTTTGTGATAGGGCCCAAGATTTTACATTTTTAATAAGTTCCCAAGTGATAATGATGCCTGTTGGCCCAGGGAACACACCTTGAGAACCACTGTACTAGATTTTGGGAGACCAGTTAGAAATCTTTTGCACTGATCTATGCAAGATATCGTATAGAAGTAAATGCTGACGATAGAGTTGAGGAGGAGGTGTCGATTCTGAAGATAAAGAGGAGTGACAACCGACAGCATTTGTTAACAGACGAGGGTGTGCAGGTGAAGGAGAGCTAGGAGTCTAGATTGATTTCTAGATTTCTGTCTTTGGTAGGTGGATCAAAAATGGTGGTGCCATTATCTCAACATAAGGAATAAAAGAGCAGAAGCCGGATGGGGTGGAGTTGGTTTCAGACACGTCCAGTGGAGGTTTATGTGGGCACTGTAAGTGGCAATATCTGTAGGAAAGTAGGATACTGCCTAGGTGGAGATGAATGCAGTTATAAGTGCAGGCATCTGAGTCCACAGAGGAGAAATTATAGGTCATGAAGGGAAGAGAATAAAGTGCTGGGAACAGAACTCTGGATTGTGCCAATATTTAAGGTGAAATCAGAATAATTCACCTTAAAAAGGCCAGAGAAGGCCTAGCAGGAGCCCTGAAGGAGAGTTTCTGAAGGGTGTGATCAACATGTCAGCACTACAGGAAGGTCAGATGACACGTGGATTCAAATGTGCCCATTGCGTTTAGGAACCAGAACATGACAGGAAACCTTAGTAAAAGCAGTTGGGGCAGAGAAGCCCGGATGGGACCCAGATTGCATTTATCTGAAGTTAGAAACTGTTTTTTTTTTATAACAGAATACATGTCTTCTGCTTTCCTGTTATTAAGTTTCTATTTTGTCACCTCTGAAGAAGATAACGCTATTGATAGAAATCCTTGGCGTATAAATGTATTCGTATTCAAGTTCTAAGCTATTTTTTTTCTAGCTGAAATTTAATAAAATGTTTAGAGAGCAAATTGAGAATCAAAATTTATATGTTGTTTTTTCCCTTTGAGGCAACACTGCCTCCTGAGAGGTACTGTCCCTTTTCACAGAAGGTTTTCAGAAATGACAGGAGGATTTTGTGGTTGGCGCTTCTGAAAGTGCTGTGTTTTATTCTCCACCCCATCTCTGCTGTGGAACCAAGAACGCTATTATTGCTATTAAGAATATTGTTTTACTCTGTGACTTTCTGTGACAGCTGGGCACGATTATTTTTTAGTTTCCTGATTGACCCAACTTCAACCAAAAAGAAAGACATTTCTTTCTAGGAAATGTGAGAGCTGTTGGGGCAGCTGTCACTTCTGGTAATTTGACTGTAACCTTTTTTCCTTTTCTTCCAGTGTTTGTCTAAGCAGATTTATAACAAAACGCTGAGAGTAAATAGAAATTGCTGCCCTTCACAAGATCAGGACCCGGGATTGTAGTTTCCTAAGCGGGATATATCGGTGGTGTGTTATGGTCTGGAAAACATGGTTTAAACATGTCTGTTCAACAGCAGCACGCCCACCTCTGTTCTAGGGAACTTCTCGGGCGGTTGTGCGGACTGACTCTTCAGGACTCTCTGGAAAGCCAGATTTGAGGCTGAGCCAACACAGCCCTTGGGATCTGATGCTCATATCCCTCTATTAATTAGTTGGAAAGTTCTCCACAAAATGTGGGCCAAATACAGAACGAGAGGGACTGCCAGTAAAACAGTGAGCTTTCTGAAAGACCTGAATAAAAGCACGCTTCCTCTTTTGTGGCCAGGCTGCTCTGATCTGACCGATGCTCTCTCTGTGGGCTCTGTTTTGCCCTTCACTTGTTGATTGGGGTTTCAAGGCTCCGCGTTAAAAGGGGAACAGTTTTTAAACCTCAGGCTGCAAATGATCAAATGTGTATTTGTTATTTTACAGAGACCAAATTAATTTCCTAAACTGTTAGGAATTTTACTTGTTGACAGATCAGGCTCTTAAAAGACTGGTAAAGAGCATGACATTGAGGCTGATGGTGAATCCTAGGGGAAAGACGGTGGATTTTGAGGATGTATGATATAAAACCCAAAAGCTCTTTTCAAATTTTTTTTGAATACTTTAAGTAATGACTTTGTTATTTGTTCTTCATTGAAGATTAAAAATAACATTATTAAGCATATCGCTGGAGCTCAAATTAACATTTCCCCCTTTTCCTTTCTTTCTTGAGCAGGTTGTCAAGTTATTAAGCAACAAAAGATCACAGGCAGTTGGAATATTAATGTCTAGCCTTCATTTAGATATGAAAGACATACAGCATGGTAAGTATACAAATAAAAATTCGGCTTTTGAATACTAAAATTTGGCCTGGAGGGTATGATGTTTGATGGTAAAATTATTTCAAACTTAGAGTTTCTGTGTATATTGAGGTTATTAAGTTTCCTCTAAGTGCTACCAAGCATTCTCTCATGGTTGTTTCTGGAAGATTTACTATTAATGTGGCCTTTCTGCTATTTCTATGTCTTGGTAAGAGCCTAATTCTCATGTGACATATTTAGTCTGCATTAATAAATGATTAATTTTTGCTTCATAAGAAGTACTAGTCCCTCTGTGCTCTGTGACTGATTAAACTGTGTCTGGATTGTTTACTTCTGGACGCTACGCTCTAAGAGTGACTGATGAACAGTGGTGAGAGCCAGATGGTGGGGTGTGTCTCAGCCTTTGAAATACCTGGAGAAGATAGTCCACAGGAGAGAAAAAGATGAGACTTGAGTCTCAAGTGTTTGATGAGCTAGCATAAAGAGGAAGCAAGCGTAAAGTTTTCTGATAGATCAGCTTCAACCAGTGTAGGAGTGACAGGGAAGCTTGTTTCGATTGTTGTTGTTTTAAGAATATTCTTATGATTAGAAATGTCAAACAGTAGACTGGGTTGCCATATTTAGTGATGAAATGAAAACTCAGAACTGTTCAAGAAGCGGAATGATCCTTTGTCTCACATGTCTTTAAAACATTGGACGAGTGACGGGACATGCTCTCTTAGTCTTCCTGTTCCAAGAGACTGTGAGATGCTGAAAGGGTCCCTAAAGCACGTTTATTACGTGTAACTTTTTAGAGGGGAAAACTGGTCCCTCTTCTTTCAATAATTTTGGGCAACTATAGTGTAAACCTCTGGGCTTTTCTACATATAGAGGGATTGAATTATATTCTCTAATAACCATCAAAGATAGTTTCAAAGTATTCTCGGCCACTTATATTATTTTTGGTGATCCAGACACATGGAAGCAGTAATATCATGACCTTTTGTTATTTCTTTTATGTTGTTGTTTTAATTTATATCTTTAGCCAGGCTTATAAAATATTTTCTATGATTGGAACTAGCGTGATTTTCAACATTTCTAAGTGGCTTTGCTGTTGATATTTTAATACTTGAATTCTACCCTACAGTTGGCAGGCATTCGTATGCCATATCCTCCTATCACATTTATGCTGAGAGATATTGCCCACAGGTGAAGAGAGGAATTAAATTTATATTCAGAATGTCCCTTAAGCTGCCCAGAGCCTTAGAATAGATTTAAAGCAGATTGAATTAGCCAAGGGAATGCCAGTTCACCTATTAAAGAAATATGGTTTCAAGTATAATACAGACCTTATAAATCATGAAAACAGTTAACTGGCTTTCTAGCTCACCCCTTTATGAATGTGGATTCTATTTGTGAGGCTTAAAATATTGTGTGAAAAAATTCATAAATAGCACAAGCTTGGTATGTCCTGTCCATTGATGAGTAACTCTTAATCACAATTTAAGTTTTTATTAAACTATTCTGACGTGAGAAGACTTCCTTAAGCTGAAACATTGGGGTAGTAGTCAAAGTACAGGACGCCGCGGCTGGCGCCAAGAGGTACTTGGCGTTTCTAAAGCTGGCAGATGGAGCCCAGTTAAGTCATAGAATGAAATCTGAAAATAATGATATGGTCCTTTCCTTCAGTCAAATATTCAACCCAGGCTGAGTTAATAATGAGAACCTTATGAACCAAGGAGTCCGCCTAACATCTGTGTCTGTGGTCAAGCCAGCGAGAGTTCATTGAAAATTTGCTAGCTTAACATGCAGCGCTAACAATAACATGGCATGGACGGCCATAGTTGAAAGGTCACACAGAATTATGCGTGAACTTTATCCTATTAGGATGGGAAGTGGTTGCTTGAGTCACTTTGAAAAGCTGCACACAGTTTTCTGAAAAACGGCTGCCTTAAAAGTCTGAAGACGCAAGTGATATGCCTTTCGGTGAATCAAGTCCTGTTCTGTCTCAGTATGTGGTCTGGAGCTGTGATTTACCTGGGTGAATCACTGGTGGCCTCTAGAATAAACTTGACTTCTATCAGGATAGGCCTCCACTGAGAAATCCACAGAAGCATAAACATCATTGATTTTGGATATAGAAGCAGCCACAGAATTTAACCAGACCTCCAGTGTCATCTTAGAAGAGCAAACGAAGACCTTTTAGTGGTCAGGTGTCTTTCTCAAGGTCACACAGCTCCTTGATGGAACAGACTGACCTCGCACCCAGCTGTCTTCACGACCCATCCTGTTCTTTTCATTCAGATGTGTCGCTTCTTCAAGATTGTGCTTTTTGGTATCTTGAAAACAAAGTGTACGTAATATTATAATAAGAAGCAGGAAATATTTTCTCTCTTCTTCCCTGTTAAAACTCTAGACAAGCTTCGAGTTGAGTTTTCTTGGTAATGTTTCTATTTTAAAGTGCCGTGTTAGGCTAAGTAGGGTGGAAGGTTTGGATTATAGGTGCCAAAGGTCCAAGTGTGGTCTTTCCACCATACCCACTGACCACCACGTCAGGCTCAGACCCAAAGAGGAATGAACATATGTTGAGTCCTCAGTGTCACGTATAATCAAAGGGCAGAGGGGGAGAAAGGATCGTCTTCTTGACCAACTTTATTAATGTGGCAAAACAAGTGTGAGGCAGTCCCAGTCATGAGATGTGTGTGTGTGTGTGTGTAAAGGTTGCAGGAAGGCCTGGAATGCAGTTGTGAGTATGTGAGCAGTCTAAACTATCCTGCAGGTTATAACAATTTTTCGATGGGGAGGGTGAAACTGTGATGTGCCTCTTCTGAAAACTCCCCCTCCGAGGGTTTAGAACAATTTAAAGTCTAGGATGAAGGTGCCTTTTAGAGAGGATTTGCCCTAGTTTGCGCTAGGGCTTGGGGCACTATGGGTTTAGGACTTCCTTAAACCAAGCAGAGGGGGTCCCTCAGGCAGTGCTAACTGCTCATCCACTGCGTGAGTTGCTTTCTTGAGGGTATAGCCTTTGAGTCCCAGTTTATTGTCAGGAGGGTCGAGGGTCTAGAGTCTGTACTCTGGGTGGGCCCTGAGCTTTAATATTGGCCCCCGGTCCCAGGAAGCTGTCAGTAGAAAGTTCAGATTTGTTGGGATAGGCAGATACCCACAGGACAAGAGTGGTTTCTGAGCTGGCTCATTTCTCTGGGTCTTCTTTCTCTTCCCTTTTATTTAGCCTGGAACTATCTTTATCAATTCTTTGATGCCTTTAAGATAGATTACAGATTGATTTTATCCAGCATTTTTAATTGTTCTCAATGGGAGGATTAATTCAAATAATCTAGCATGTGATTCCCAGAAATTGGTATCATGAGAGTATCCTACAGCTTTGTGGGGTTTAGTTTTGTGAAAACAAATTGAAGTTCCTATACAGCACATGGTCCGTATTTCAGGAGTCAGTGTGATATTCACAACTCTTAGGTCCATTCTGGTAGATAATAGTAGCTGCAAAAGAATTTCAAATTTCATAAGGCTCAGTTTTACCCCCCACAAACTCACTACTGGGTAGAATATCCACATAATTTATCATGCAAACTGGGATACTTTTGAGAGTGGAAGGGGGTGCTGTTAGTATTGCCTGGGCAACAAGTGTGTAGTGGAAATTTCTCAGGCACACCAGTAGTAGCGTAACCCTAACACCAGATCAAACGGAAGCAAGTTCCTGATCTAATTCTCCCTCATGTACACTATTTATTAAACAAATATTTATTGGCCAACAGAACAAAACAGCTTAAAAAGCTTACTTTGGTATACCTGAGATTGTCTAGCTCGCTGTCCTTATAGGCACTCTCACCACTGCCTTGTCTGAAAGGTTTGCTCCAGCAGATGCAAACACATCACAGAGGGAGGAATCTGTTATCCTGTAGTCTGCACCAGGCAGCCAGAAGTCCAGCCCAGCCAGTGTCTGGACCCTGGACTCTGTAGGGACAGAGCCTCAGGCTGCCTCCTAAAGATCCAGGCTGTAGCCTCCACTAGGTCCTCCTACTTTGTCTGTGGAAGGGGCCGGGTGGAACATCTCTAAGAGGTTTTAGCTAATCAACGTGTCTTGTGTGTTTTCAGTTTCACCCGTGAATGCCCATTTCAGACATTAGCATGCTAATTAGCAAAGCCTCTGTTACTGGTCTGGAGAGGGGAGCTCAGGAGCTTGCAGGAGCTGCCTCTGGAGTATGGCCTGTCTCACAGTGCTGGCCAAGCATCCCTCAGGTTATGAGGCCTTATTAGCACAACTGACTGCCCCTGGAGTTGAAGCTTTAATGGCTCATATACACTCTTATGTCCCCTCTGTACACGTGTTTCAAAATTGGTTACAGATATTGTAACGAGGGAGACCTAAGATATATTTAATAGAGAATAAGAAGTAAGTTTCACTCTCCTTCCGGTATTGGCCGTCCCAGGGTGTTAATGGTCCCGGCTTCTCCGTTCCTTTTATGTCTGTCCTGTCTAAAGCCAGCTGGTATTGTAGGCGATGGGCAACAAATGCTAAATTATATCCTTGAAATTTCTGTCCTGCTTAAACAAGATGTATCAAAATCATGTGTCTTGAAATTAAATAATGGTGTAAACTACCTAGTGTTCCATTAGAAATATAGTGGATGTGGTCAATAAAATCATGGTTATTTTTATTTTTTGATCTCTAAGCCTAATGATTGCATTTTCAAACACTTTTTATTTAAAAAAAAATGTAGTTAAGGATACCTTACAAGGACAATAATGTGCTTTTAGATTTAAATCTGAAATTCCAGTGCAGTTTGTTAATTTGTGACTCCTCATTGGAACCTGCGTCATTGTGTTGCTGTTTCTTTGATCTTCTCTCCCTGGCCTCCCTCACAGGGGCTCAGAGCTGAGAAGACTTATCCTGGTAATTGTCTAGAAAGAAATTACCTAAGGTTGCAGGTACTTAAAAAGAGAATTCATTTTGGCAAACAGGATACGTATTGTCAGATCTTTCATAACCAAACCTTTTTATTAGC